AAAAAAAAAAAAAAAACACCAAAGCATTACAACTTTGCCAATTCTATTAATAAACAAGCTGTTTCCTTCACTAGTTGCTAGTGTTGCTATGTTTTGGCTGGTAACTGAAAAACACACCTTGACCCATAAAGAAGGCAAATCAATCTTTTTTCCAAGGCTCAGTGCATGGCATGACAGTGGTACATTTCAATAGAGGCCACATTTACTTTGTTCTTACTGTGCAATTGTAGGAATCAAGAGATCAGCATCTGTTGGCTTGTTAAGGTCAATTCAACACACATGTAATGCTGTTCCAAACACCAGATCCTGCACAAGCAGGATATGGCAGAGAGGACTTAGTCATGAATTTTTAGTTCCATCATTTCCTTGTGCATTCATAGGAACAGGCTTAAACAATTGGGGGGGGTGTGTGTTGGGGGAGTTGTGGGGGGGGCAGGGTGGAACCCCTTATAAGTACTGATTCAATGAAATTACTGTAAATCAATTACAATGATGAGTACTGGTATTAAAAAGTGTCAGAGACATAATTATGGAGTTGTTAAGTGAGACAACTTTTAATCTTCTGTTCAGTTTCAAAATTTCCCTCCTAAATTTCATGACACCATGGTTTGAGGGGCTTTTGTACCTCTGAAATAAGAATGCAAAATTTAAACTGGAGAAGATATCATACTTTTATACTGAGCTAGTGTTTTTTGGACACTTTCAAGTTATCTATAAAAGAAATAGGATGAATATGTAGGGAAGCTATCTCAGATTTTTAATAAGTTAATACACATATATATTATAGTAGCAAATAAAACACAATTTAGTTACTATAATATAACCCATACAACAAGGCTGCTTTTTGTAGCTTTTCCAGGTAAAAAGTAGAGAAGAAAGTTCAGCCCACAGTAAATGATGAGATAAATTTAATTTATTGATCTAACTAATTAACCAATTATTTATTACAAAGTATTTTAGTTTACAAGTACAAATTTAAAAACCTAATCATGAACTTCTAAGAAGCAAATTCTTATGAACATTAGTAACTGCAGTTAAAAATATTGATTTCTACCTATAAATGTCAGTCCTTGAGTATCAGGCTTCCTCACCTCGATATATAGTCTCAGTTATACACATTTTATTGGCTTTCACTCTCTTTGGACTGTTACCTACAAATATCAGTCAAGTTAAAATTTTAGTGCCCCAAATATATGCCTCCACATTCACAATATCCCTTATCTTTTCTTTTTAAATATGAACTTTAGACTTATATTTATTTTTCACCTAACAGGACTTTAGCAAGGGAATTAAAACAATTACCCTTGTTTTTGAGACAGGGATCTAACATACAAAGGAAAAGTTGGACGTTTCAAATGTTTTCAGTTTCACTACTCCCTATTATTCAAAGAATTTGCTTCCAAGTTCCAAGTTTTGGATAAAAACTTACCAACTAACCTCTTGGTTTGCATGGCAAATTCTTTACTCTGTTCTGTCCACCTCTCTTTTTCACCTGCTAAACCACTTATAAGGCTTGAGGCAGTTTGCATTTTATGTCAGCAATGCTCAGCATCTTCCAGCAGAGTCCAGAGAAAACCATGCACCAAGAGAAATTGTTTACAGTAGTATGTCTGATAGGCCAGAAAAATCTCTACATCTCATTAAACCAGTGGATAAACAACAGGTTAGAAATGTATTCTTAAATATCTCTATCACCATGCAGAGGAGGGAATGTGAGATGGAAAAATATATCAGGACAAACTCTCAACATCTCCCAGAAACATGATTCAATATTTCTTTTAATGTTCCTTTTCTTAACTTTTATTTTGGTGCAGTTGCTGAATAGTATATAAAATTCTTGATACTTATTCACTCTGGGGAATTCTACTCAGAATTTCAAATACATTATACATATATAGCATACATGGAATTTGAAGTTACAGTAGTAGGCACTGAATAAAGAATACAAATAAAATAGTTTTTGAGGGGTGGGAGGGAAGAGAGGAGAGGATTAGAGGCAAAGGAGAGAGGTAGAAAGCAAAGAGGCAGTATTCAAATACTGTCTGTCTCTTATCTGCTGTCCATCAACAAGGAATAATAGTAAAAGTGAAAGAACACAATAAGTGTTCTTTGAAGCAAGGATAGAAACTTCTTTTTTGTGAAGGTCAGTTCACCTGTTTTTCTCTCATTGCATTTTCATACTCTGCCTGCACAATATCTAATTCTTCTTGCTTGGCTCATAGTTCTTCTTGAGCTTTCTGCAGATCCAGCATAGCACTGGTTAGGCGTTTCTCTTGAATTGCTAAATTAGCCTACAGAGAATAAAAATACAGATGTGCAGTAATACACAGAGAATTTCAAAGTATTTGCTATAATATATTTCAGAAAGTTTTTCCTGTACTACATTTCCAAATCAAACTCTTCAATAGAGATGTCAACTCAGCAAAACCTTTTATTTGAATTTTACAACAAACTAAATTCTTGTTTCAGACAGCTGTACTTGAACAGTTGGCTTAATGTCAATTAGAGAAAAAATAATTAAAAATACTTCTGGGAATGCCAGTCATTCTTCATGTGACACAAAAGTTAGTCTGACATGGCTTGCAGAAGAGAAGTATATTTGATTTGTCCAACTAATATGCCAGGCTGAAATACAATTCTTGCTCCCTTCTCAGTCATTCCCTTTATAATACAAGCTATTCTCTGTTAAACATGTTTGACCACTTTCTTTCTGACTTTCATTCTAACTACTTAAGCCCAGGTTTTTTTCTCTGCATAACACAGATGAAGAGTATCTGTAAAATCTTCTTATGAACTGAGATCTGGAACATTAAAAGAACCAAATCTCAAGGCTTTTTTCTACTTAATCCAAAATTAATGTAGAGTATTTGCAGTAGTGTATTTACCTAGATGACAGATGCTTTAACCCCATCCAGCAGTGGTCCGGAGGCATAAAACCACACCATCTTTTTTGTATTTGACAACTCAAATGTACGAGAGGAAGTATATTTGAAATATATTTTGTTGTAGAAGTACAGTCTTCAAGGTAATAAATTTCAAGAGAGATAACCACCACAAATAAGGCAAATGAAGTTTCCCACAGATTAAATCCTCAAGTGCAAACAGGTGAGGATGAGAAGGAGCAGAGGGTGTCTTTGACTGACAAACAGACATACCTTCAAAGGTAATATTTCTTTGTTGATGGAAAAAAATAGTGCCATAGCTTTCATCCATGAGCAAAGGCCAGCAACATGTACACATACTCTCTTAGCTGTCTCAGTGTTGTAGTACACCATTTCAAAATAAGGGCTCAAAAGTTCTACCAATTCATCATTAATTGTGTCTTTCTGAAATTGCTGAAAAAATTTTTGAAAGTGCAAGATACAAAATGTGCAACAAGTGTAAATTATATATACATGCATTTCAGAATACATAGAACACTAGAAAGATCACAAGTACTTCTTACAAATAACTAATATGAAATTATTTGTCACATGTATCTTTGAGACCTTTATTAAAGTCCTTCCACTTTACGAAATGGAAAAAAGTTTACTTTCATTTATGACCTTTGCTATCTCAACTCACTATTCCTGTTACACAGTTAATAATTGTTTCAAAATATCACTGGTCCTGCTAGAAATTTCGTTTTGCTTAATACAGAATAAGTTTTAACAATCTTCAAAAAGCAAATGAAGTGCTAAACTCTAGTTCAAAAACATACATTCTGCAAGACAATCCTTTCAAAGGTCAAAAGCCATCTATCTTACCCTTAAATTACCTTGTCTAATTACTGGAATGTGTTTAATTTTTAAAGAATTTATTTTTACTCTTTTCTTGAAAAAGCATATTTTTCCTTTTTCCTCCTGAAAAGCTCTCAATTTTCTCTTTCAAATTTGTTTACAATGTATAATGAAACCCAATCCCAAACTTGAAAAATAGCTGTTTCCTGAAGCACAAATAGGTTTAATTAAGCATGAGTGAAATTAATCGTTGAAGTCCTTTAGAAAATTAAAAATCTTTACAAGTAGATGCAATGTGAATACTACATAGATAACATCCATGCCCCTACCAACCATACAAAGCTGCTCAAGCCCCTTACTTGACCCGTGACAAATTAAGTAAACTCAAAATGCAGAAATCAGGGATGATAGCACTCAGTGGAGCAGGGAAATATGCCATTTATTCCAAATAGACAAATCATAATATTATTTGTTTTAGTTATGAAAAAGGATTTTTTTACCAGTTTACCAGTGTTTCCATTTCCCTAGACAAATCCTCTGAACATAAAAAAATCCCAAATTTTAAAAGCTGGGATTGTGATTATGTTCATCCTAAAAACCATCTATGCTTTTCCAAACCAGTGCACAAGTTGAAATGCTGAAAATTAATGAAAAGTTAAATACCAGAAAAAAATATGGTTTTTATCAGCTTTAATGAAGCAAATAAGTAATGCCTATCAAAACCAAATGTTTCAAGCTTTGAGTCATTTGTCACCTAAAACAAATTTATTGCCTTACTTAGCAAAAATTATAGTTGATTTATAACATGTCTTTTCAAGAAGGATTACAGTTTATTTCATCCTGACATATTTATTCTTAAGTCCTTATCATTTCAGATCTATTGTGTGATTTCCCTTGCACATTTGTTCTCCTACGAACACCAGGGAAAACATTGTCCCTAAAAAAAAAAAATAAGGAAAAGGTTGCACAAGCACCTGGAGACTCTGTAAGAAGTTCCCTGTTGTCATCAGCTTCAGCGATTCTTGCCACGATGGGACAGTATAGTGTTTTTCCTGATCAATTTTCACATGGTTGACTTTACGCAGGAAGAGCAGCAGCACACAGTCCATAATACACATGATGAGGTGAGGAGGTCGACCCAGTGTGTGCACTGTGGCAATATCTTCAGGTTTTATTGCCTAGGAATTGAAAACAAAGGGCAAAGCAGTTACTGTTTAGTTAATAAAACATGGGGCATAAATTCCCCAACTTAATAGTAAACTTAAGCAATGGGAGAAAAAAATATATATATGTTATTTTTACCTCTAAAAAGCATGAAGTTAGAAGGACCTCCCCCAGTCAGATTTTCACTACTTACTCCTATCAACTCCTAGGAAACCTCAGCACAGCATCTCCACACCTTAAAGCTCAAAATTACCATGAACTGTTTTGACAATAAAAAAGATCAAATCAGAAATATCTTTAAATTTTACTTGTTTTTTAAATGTGAACATATTGACCAGAAACTGTATCTAGAAAGAAAATACTTTTTGTTGACATCCAGCAAATGAAGGTAAATTAAGGAAACCAGTGAGAAGGCCTGGTATATGTATGTTTGTATCTCCTAGTACATCTTACCAGGAATATTCCTGGCATAGAAGGAGGCCATAGAAAAATATATTATAATAAAGTTTTAAAACCTAGGCCCTAAAAAGTAAGGCTAAATAAGCCTAGGGTACAAGTATAACACTAACTCATAACTCTACATCATAAATCAGAAAACACAGAAAAGTCTGCTGAAGATGTCTCTGTGGAGAAGACTCGATTTGAGCAGCAGTGTTTACTGCACCACATACAAAGCAATAAAAACACTGAACAATGGGAACAACTGATGGGCAGACCCGCTCCTGCAACACACACAACTCTGAGCAGTTGTTTTGCTTATTTACAGGCAGTTTAATAAGTCCAAGTACACGACAGCCCAAACAGTAAGCAACAGATTACTGTCAGTGTCATGACATCTTGCTTCTAGCCTAGCACATGCCTCACTGGGAATTCACGGACGCAGATTTTAATTACTTGTGTCTATACTTCAATAAAGGGAATTCAAAGCACTGCAGACCATCCAGATTGCTTTCCCTCTGCCAGCCCTTTGTTTCCCTTCAATATTTTGCTGCTTGTTCGGTTCACTGTGCACAAAATAATTCATCAGAGATTTTCGAGATATCTGTGTGAAAACTTTACCCAGTGTTTCTTTCTGTTAGGAAATTCAGCTCAGCCTTTTTTTTTTTTTTTTTTTTTTTTTTGCTAAAATACAAATTGTGGCAAAATTGTTACATTTAAATTTTATTCATTTATTTATTTGTCTGTAGTTCTGTATGTTATGTGCTACATTTATTACAGGACAAAGTGCTACAAAGTTTTAACAATTCTTACTCAAACTTTAAGAAACTAATCTCACTATATGTTTAGAAATGCTTATAAGATGCTGTGTACCTACCTTTCTCTTAATGTAGCATTTATCATTCTTAAAATATGCTAAAAAATGAGTAAAATAGCTAATCACTTTTCTTTTCATCTGGGTAATGACCTTTCTATTCATCAAATATTTTAATAGGCATTTACCTACTCTGCAACCAGAATTCTACTATAGGAATCCCTAGCTCAAATTTGCAAATCTATAATGATTATGAGATTCATTTTTGAAAAATGCAGACCCATACAGAGAAGATTCTTGCTTAAGGGAGTGAATGAATGAATGAATGAATGAATGAATGAATGAATGAATGTATGTATGTATGTATGTCATGGTTTGACACTGGCACAATGCCAGTGCCCCAATGAAAATGCAATCTCTCAACCAAATGCTATGAAATGCGATCAAGAACAGAGCAAAGCAATCCCAAGCTTAATAACAGGGAAAAAAAACTTTATTAAGCTACTACTACTATACTACTATAAAAGGAAAAAAAAGGAAAAAAACCACACAAAATTCAAAATGAAAACCTTCCATGCATTCCTCCTCCCACCACCCAACTCCAGCAAACCACAGTGAGACACAACCTGGACCCCAATCAGGTTTCCACCCTCCAGACAATTGATAATCAGTCCATCGAGGGAAGAGGAGTCTCTCCTGTGCCACAGATGCCCGAAGAAACACACCTTACACATCCTGTGTTTCCATGTCACACATGGCACCGCCCGGAGAAGAAAGTTTTCCATGGTGACCCTCTCCTTTCCATGCACAGTGCTCTCACCATCAATGCATGGATGGACAGACTGCTTTTAGGATTTTTTCCTTTCAAGGATGCCCTGCCAAGAGGGGGAAAAAAACAACAGTTCAGTTTTTCATTTTTGGGACCACAGTTCCCCCATTTTCTCCTGGGGCCAAGGGTCCAAGAACAGAGATCTTCTTCTCTTCTTCTTCTCTGAAGACAGGGGGCACCACCACAAACCTCCCTAACTTTTGTCTGTTCGCTCCACTTCTGTCTTTTTCCCAGCTGAAGCATGGTTTCTTTGGCTCACCAGTATCCTCCTAAAATACAGTCTCTCTTGGAGGAGAAGATTGGTTCAGT